TGTATGTATGTATGTATGTATGTATGTATGTATGTATGTATGTATGTATGTAATATACAGCATATAGGAGTGTGATGGCTCAGTGGTTAAAACCATTGAGCTTATCAGCTGGAAAGCTGACAGCTTGGTTTGAGACCCAAATACATGTGACAGGGTGAGCTCTGTTTACTTGTCCCAGCTCCTGCACACGTAGCAGTTTGAAAGCATGCAAATGTGAAAAGATAAATACCAGTAGGTACCACTTTGTGGGGAAGGCATTCCATTCACCTCATTGTGTAGTTATACTGGCCACACGATCACAGAAATATCTTTAAACAACGCTGACACTCTCAACTAAGAAACGGAAAAGAGCACTGCCCCATAGAATCAGAAATGATTAGGCAGGGAAACCTTTAATTTTAACTTTATATTATGCATACTGTTGTATTTGAAAGAGATGTGTTGCATTACTGATTTGCAGGGCAAATGCACTTTCTGTGAAGGCCGTAATGATGCCAAGGAATATGCTCATATATGCTCAGCTATGAAAATTCTCATGTTCTCTGATTCTGAGCAGTGGAACATAAGTAAATTGCTGGCAGCCATTTTGCATCTAGGAAATGTAAAATTTGAAGGTAAGCCTAGTACATGTGTATATTTACAGACATGGGATATTTTCGCAGAGCTAATGTTTTGTTTCTCAAACCTTCACAGTTTTACTACACAGTAACCTTACCTTCCTCCTGAGTTACTTCAGTAGACTACTATCCTTTTCAGTTGTCCAATAGGGTAGCACGAAGAAGTCTCACCAGCCATTTCCCCCATTTTTTTTCTTTTTCTCAGTGCCTTGTTTTCCTAGTGAGAAAAAAAAAGTGCTGATAAACCGGCCATACATGGGAACATATTAATTAGGATTAGGAAGAATTAGGATGATTTCAAGGTTCAATGGTACTTTGCAGAGGTGGGTTCCTACCAGTTCGCACCAGTTCGGTAGAACCTGTTTGTCAAATCTACCGAACCGGTTAGAAGAGGTTCCACCAGTGGACCCAGAAAGCAGGCCACACCTACAGAAGAGGTTCCAAACTTTTTTGAAACCCACCACTGACACACATACAAAGACACACAGACAGACAGACTCACACAGAGAGAAAGAGAAAGAAAGGAAGAAAGAAAAAAAGAAAAAAAGAAAAAAAAAGAGTGAGAGAGAGATGAAAGAAAAAAAGGAAAAAGGGACAGAGAGACAAAAGGAAGGGGAGAGAGAGAGAGAGAGAGAGAGAGAGGAAGGAAGAAATAAAGAAAGAAAGAAAAAAGAAAGAAAAAGAGTGAGAGAGAGATGAAAGAAAAAAAGAAAAAGGGGACAGAGAGACAAAAGGAAAGAGAGAGAGAGAGAGAGAGAGAGAGGAAGGA